GTGGATGTTCATTATCTATAATGGCATAGTCAGGGTGACCAGATGTCCTCCTTTTTTCTCCATTTTGAGCATGGCAAAAAAGCATGCATTTACATTTCTAATGAGTGTTTTTAGCTTTGATTTGGTCAGGTCCCCCATTTTTGTCCTAAACACAAAGGAGGACAAGGCACTGCAAAAATGTAGGACCTTCACGAAAAATGGAAGGCATTCCAAAATCAAAGCTGGAAAGACTCATAGACATATAAATTCATGCTTCTTAGTCCTGCTCAAAATGGAGGACCTTTTGGAATTCCTCCTGGACAGCAGACCGAAATGTTGGAAAAGGTGGATTATAGAAAACAGTATATATAGCATATAGTTATAATTATAGATTATATATACATAGAGAGAGAAAGAGAGAATATTATATAATTAATTATGGTAACACAATTCAATTTTGCTAGCGGAGATTCCAGCCTCAGCATTTACCTTACAAAATAAGTTTCTTGTAGCATTTTTAAAAATCGACAATACACAGATACACACATTTTCTGTATCGGCAAAAACAGAACCAACATTTCTCACGCGGGAATAGGATACTGGGATCTGCAGTTGGGAGGAAAAAATCCTTTTGGTTAGAATAGCAGGACATTTTATCTTAAGGAGGAAAGCAAGAAGCAATTGCCAATGACAGCCAAAGCTCTAAGAGATATCAGTCCGTATATAAATGCATCATATGATGGGACCTCGCCATTCGTGGGCTTGCCATCCGCAGATTTGAGCATTGTGGCTGTGTACGTGTTGTGCTGCCGTTATGGACAATGGGACTTGCAGTCCCTTGTTTTTCGTATCTGCGCCAAGCAATGGGAATTGAGGTCCCATGCTTTTTCGTATCTGCGCCAGGCAATGGGACTTGAGGTCCCATGCTTTTTCGTATCTGCGCCAGGCAGTGGGACTTGAGGTCCCATGTTTTTTCGTATCTGCGCCAGGCAATGGAACTTGAGGTCCCATGCTTTTTCGTATCTGCGCCAGGCCATGGGACTTGAGGTCCCGTGTTTTTTCGTATCTGCGCCAGGCAATGGGACTTGAGGTCCCATGTTTTTTCGTATCTGCGCCAGGCAATGGAACTTGAGGTCCCTTGCTTTTTCGTATCTGCGCCAGGCAGTGGGACTAGAAGTCCAGTGCTTTTTACGTAACTGTGCCGGGGTTGGTGGGTCTAGAATGGATTCCCATGGATATGAAGTTCCACTGTATTAATTTTATTTCTTAATTCCTTCGTGTTAATCAGGTGGACGGGAGGAAGCTGATGGTGAGCGCCAAGCACGACAAGCGGAGCGAAAGCGCCGACGGCTGCCTCTCCCACGAGTACCGCGAGGTGCGCAAAGAGCTGCTCTTGCCTGATGATGCCAACCTCCAGGCGCTCACCTGCACCTTCAACCCCGACGAAGGGTATCTCCGCTTGGAAGCCCCCCGCATGACCCAGCCGCCCGTCGAGGAGAGGGCCATCCCCATCACCATCTGCAAGGGCCCCGACGCAGGGACCCCGGAGGCCCCCAGCGCCAAAGAGCCCCTGCCCGCCGCCACTCCGGAGAAAGAAGCCGCATCCAAGTGAAGGAGATCGGGAAGCGACCCGTCCGCCTTGTTGGAAGAGTCGGGCCGTTCGCCCCATCGGCAACGCTCTTAAAAACAAAACCCGCGTTGCTCTTAAGTTGGTCATTACTGTTACGCATGCCTCCATTTTCGGGGGGCCTGGTTTGCTAGTTTCTGCCATTTTCGCCCCATCTAGTTTTGGATCTCCTTTTTTTTTTAAGATCCTAAAAGGAGAGAGTAAGAGTGATTCCGAAGTTGGAAAAAGTTGGAAAAGTTTAAAAGGAACGGGGCTGGAATAAGGTTTTGGCAAGTGTTTTTTGTTGGTTGGTGTCAATAAAGTTGGTTTTCTGCATCTGGTTTCTGTTTGGGTCTTTTGTTTTTTTCGGTTTGCGGTGGCTGAGCTGTTGTTGTGCCTCCTCCAAATCATTTTTGAAATGGCAACCCTAAGGGGGATCCATCGTGGGCTTTTCTTGGCAAGATTTGTTCAGAGAAGGTTTGCCATTGCCATCCTCTGAGGCTGAGAGAGTGTGACTTGGCCAAGGTCACCCAGTGGGTTTCACAGCCGAGCAGGAATTGAACCCTGGTCTCCAGAGTTATAATCCAGCACTCAAACCACTTAGACAACACTGGCTCAAAATACATTGCGTTAAATATTGATTCATTAAATATTATTCATTAAATAAAACTGTTCTAATTTGAACAATGTTATTATAGCAATAGCAAGTACATTTCTGAACCGATTATCGGTGCACTTAAGCCCACTATTTCCTTGCAAAATACCAAAATACGAATATACGTGAATGTGTGAATGAAAATATGCACGCTAAATAAACAAAATTCATACGCTACGTCAAGTAGGGTTGATGTGATCTCTGGATTTAGATGTAAAGCGGAGTCCCAAGGTTAAAAAGTTTGAGTAGCACTGTCCTAAGCAGCTCCGATATCCTTTATTTGGGGGTTATAAATACAAAGAAATGAGTAAGAGTGAGTTTCTCAGAATTGGCCTATCTTGCCTTACAAGAGTTGAATACATGAACAACAATAGATGATGATTTTGTTTCGAACTCACAACAAGGAAAGCTGCTTATCAGTGGGTTTGTTGCTTGCTGACCCAGGCGTTTTGTCTATTCCAGATGTGTGCCTCCAAGTCTTTTTTAAGGCAAACCTTTCACGGGGTTTTCTTGGCAAGTTTCATCAGAGAGGGGTTGCCATTGCCATTGTCATCCTCTGAGGCTGAGAGAGTGTGACTTGTGCATGGTCATCCAGTGAGTTATTCTGTTTGAGCATAAAAATGCCTGGATCAGGCTTTAAGGAGGGATCATGTCAAATTATAGCAGGAAAAGCAACCATGGATTTGGCAGAGGGGTTAAGAGGAGGAAGCAGAAAGCAGGTGGTAACAATGAGGAACAGGCAAGCAATGAACCCACCAACAAGCAGCTTTCCAAGGATTCAAACCCTGATCTCCAGAGTCAGAGTCCAGAGGGATTCGAACCTTGATCTCCAGAGTCACAGTCCAGAGGGATTTGAGCCCTGACCTCCAGAGTCAGAGTCCAGAGGGATTCGAACCCTGATCTCGAGGCAATAGTCCAGAGGGATTCAAACCCTGATCTCCAGAGTCATAGTCTAA